GACCCAACAGAGGCAGAGCGACGGTGTGAGTGTGTCTGAGGGCCTCGTTGTTCCCACGTGTCCTCCCTGTGAGCAGCAGCATGTGGTGAAGCGGAATTGCTCGATATCCCCTTCGCCACGTGCAGCCCCTGTTGAATCCTCGCCACCCCTACCACCCGCAGCAGATGCCTCTCAGTCGTTCAGGCTGTCGAGAAACCATAGTTGCGAAAGCATTGCATCGGGCACATTTGCAGGTGGGGATTTTTCAATCTGCGAGGGGATTGCTGAAGACGCAGATGGTGCCTCTGTTGGGAACACGAGGAGGGTACGGCGCGGTGTGACCTCCAGAAACGTGGTGCATCGGGATGATCTGGAGACAATGGAGTCACGATAGGCACGCGCATTGTGGGTTTTCATTGGGGCAGGGATGCAGGCGGCGCGTGGCTTGTGCAGCAATGCTGCTGTGCCGAGTAGTAGATGTGTGTTTACGTGGGGTTGGATGAAGTTTAGTTCGTAAAAATAGCATGTTTTTTTTTTGTGTGTGCGGCCATCAGCCCTGGCGCAATTAGTGGGATACGACAAATGAATGTGGGTGTTGTGAGAGCTGGTGCGGGTGCGCAGTGCGCGTTGAGGTTTCGGTTTGGTTTTTGTTTCTCTGTTGGGTGACTGCGTGGTCCCCGGGTCGGCTCTCCACGCGGCAGACGGTGCGAGGCGGAAGCGGGTGGAGTTGCTGCAAGAGCGGAGTCCGGTGGACTGGCGTCATTGCCTGCGCCGCCGCTGTGTTTACCGTCCACGATGCCCTTCTGTTGTGCTTTCCGTGTATCAATGAGCATCCCGGCGATGGTGCGAATTGGGGGAGCAGGGAGGAAGGTGCGAGGGTCGCCGCCGTGGCGTGGGCGGAGCACAATGACATCGGACTGCCTCTCACGTGTGCCATTTGGTTACGTTCACTACTGATTTCTTCTTTTTATTCTTTTTTTTGATTTTTTTTTTTTTTCGTTCGTTTTTATTTTTTATTTTTTGTCGTTGTTCTTTGTTTTTTTTTTGTTTTCTTTTTTGTTTTACGTCT